TTTCATGACGCAAATCACAGATATTGGCGTTATACAAAAACTGTCGGAATTATTGTTGAGTTCTAAACGTACCTGATTTTTTGGGCGATGCTTGGTTTGTGCTATCAGATGTCTCCTGGTCTGAGTTAGGATTAGGGTAAAAATTACTGACAATTCTTGAGTTTATTTAATGCTAATCATTTAATAATCATTTGAGATACGTTGCACAACAAATATATGTTTATAAACATAGTTCATATTTGTATTATATATATTATTGTAATGAGATTTGGCTTATTGTGTCCGTCTCTAAAAAAAATAAAACCAATATTTTCATTAAATTAGACTACATCAACTGTATTTTTTTTTTAAATATAAATGGTAATAAATGAGAACCCCATAGCAAAAGAGGGCAATGGTCCAAAAAAACCTTTTTTTGAAAAATTTAATTGAGTAATAGGCATATAAGTTTTATAAATTCCAAAATCAAAATTTTTGGCACAACTTTTCATTTGTTGTGGGGTTAAATTTACAAATTTTTTGTCATCATGAAGAAACTTCTTAATAGCAAATTTGAATAATTCATATCAGCATGAATATTACATTTTTTTACTTAAAATTATTAAAAATAATAAAATGAAACTATGATGCATAATACAGAAGATAAATTATAAGGACAAAAATGAAAAGCAAGAGTTTGAACTGCTTAAGTGCACGTAAACAATAAAAATTCAGTATAAAATTACAGTATTTAACAAAGATATATAATATAAGTTCTAAACTGAATTCGTGAAAGGTTAGGGATTACTTTAAATTTTTTATCCTCATAAAGTATTCTAAATATGCATATTTAGTTAAATCATGCTTTTATACTATTTGTTAGTTACCTTTTAGAATCAAATTAATCCAAGATACTGGCACGCCACTATTAATACCGAAGGATTTTAAAATTAATAAAAATGTCATAAGAAATTTACACAAATCTTTGAATATATTTAACATTATATACCTTTGTGGTATTGATTTTCTTGTCTCCAAAACATGTAACCTCTTGGTAGTCATCATTTAACATATAATTATGGCTACTTAATATCAATTTAGTATTCGCATGCATAAGAACGATATCATGACATTCATTCCAAGGATCTTTGTATTCAAAGTCATGCACATAATGCATCACATCCCAGTTATCATTTATATCGTTGCAAGTTTGGCATGTGACTAACAAAGAGAAGAGAAATAAGTAAAGGGTTATATCATCAATTATTCAAAGTCATAAAAATGAATTGATCCTACCTTCCTGTTGTAAAGTTATCGGTGAATTAAAATTATTATGTGAATGTAATTTTTTTCCAGTACCATTGTTTCTAAGTGTTATTATATCTCCATAAAATACCGGTGATCCTATTTCTTTGCTGCCACCATAAACTGGAGCTATTCCATTTTTAATAACTTCTGGTATTATAGTCCATGATTCGTAATCAGTTGGGCGGCGATCTACCGCAAATGCCTTAAGCAGAATGAAAATTAATATATTTATTGTAAAAAATAATTAAATTAACATTTAGAATTTAATACAAACCCAATATTGCTTTGATCCAGTAGTATATTTCTTCAGCGAACTTGATAATAACTTGCCAGTATCAATATGACGTAAAGTGATTACTGATCCATACTTAATTACTCGTTTATATTGAAATAGACAATTTTGGAGATTTATAAAAACTTCATGGATACTTTGGGATTCAGCAATTTTTAAGCTAAATGTGTCTGCGAATAATTTACTAGGTAAAATTTTTAATATGGACTGTTTTTGTAACTTAAGATCAAAAATTTCAGCATCTGATAGCAATTGTCGTAATCCGATGATAAAATCTTTTACATCAGTTAAATATGTAAATTTTAGAGCCGAAAGTTTTTGTTCTGAGTTGGTTTTGAAAATACTAAATGAAGGATCAGCTTTAAGGAACTCGAGAAGTTGAGAGAAATTGGTAATGCTGTCATTGTTATCTCTATATATTGAACGACTAATTTTTAAGAGTGCAAGACGAACTAGTTCAGATTCTGTTACCATCTTTCCTTGAAAGGTTGCAACGAATTTAAAATTGCGAAGCCAATCTTCTGGATGACAGGATCCGTTGTATTCTGGAAAAGATAAGAAATTCATTTTAAAATAATCTGCTAGTATAAAATTAAAATACTAGAACCATTTGAGTACGTAATGGTATGGCCTGCTAAGTTGGATAGAGTAAGGAAATGATGGTGATTATAAATTTCTATAATAGCATTTTTATTGGGCTTATCGTTATGTACACTTATTTCTGCAAGTGATACAATACAAAAAAAGGGCAACTTAAAACCGGTTAAGGTTAGGGTAACTTGTTTAATACCGTTAGTGTTATTTTATATAGATAGTGTCAAGAATACAATTTATGCAATATGTAGATCAATATATGAACCTGTCCGTAATCTTAACGTCTTTGAAAACATTGCGGATAATTAAATTTTCCCTAGGAAATCACCTTTTGCGTTCTATTTAAAAAATTCCTGGTCAAATTTACTGTCCAATGTTTTTTAACCCTAACCTAACGCAGGTCAAATTATTAATAATAGCGATAACTCTCCTGCTGAATTAACTAATCATGAAATAGAACATTATGATGAAGTTAATTT